CCGACTCCGGTGTTTGAATCACAGAAAAAGGTTGTAACTACTTTTGTAAAACATATGAAGAATGTATTAAGCCTAATTATGGATTTGTTGAAGATTGTACCCACTTTAAGTGTTTTTGATTGGGTTGTATCTTCACGGTTATTTAGCTTTTAGATGGGGTTGCCATACACTTCCTTTGTTATATAAGAATTAAACTGGGACACAGAGTACCAAGCTGCTTTCGTTTTATGCCAATCGAAGCTATTTCTATATGCACATATCATTGTAACACTCCGTGTAATTGATGTGAATGGAAAATTACATCATATATAAAATACTTGTCGTAATATCTTCTTATCATTCGCACTTTTTGACTCAGTAATAGATTTCATCGCTGCCGTAATATGAATGTCAATGCCTGTTCATACCATTTGTTAGAAATTTGTTCCTTAAACTTGCAACTAAGTTTCGGAATTTCTAACAAAAAGGAGAAAACAATATAATATGCCCAGCACAACAACTACTAACAAGTTGGGCGCTTGTCATCTGCTATAGTGCGCACGCATGTATATCCCCTCTACTCCTTAAGATGACCGCCATGACAGCAGCGAACAACGGAGAACTCAGTTCCGCAGAGCCACTCGCTCGGTCGCAGTTACGACAGCATGAGCTGTGCTTGCATATAGAACCATTCTGATAATATAAAACTGGATGAAAATCATTAAACTCGTACTGTCCTGGTCAAACTGGGACGTATGGTAACTGTAAGTTAAGAGAAATATTCATTTGTTTATTCCTTACCTATTTCCTTATTACCCAACACCCAAATCTGTTTGAATAATTTTAAATGATTTAAATCCATCAGGCCTGTATCATAAGCGCAATTCTTATTAGGTATGTATGATTTGAATTAGTCATATTGTAATTAATTAATGTGTTTGTCGAAAATGTTTGAAAGGTATAAATCTCCAGGTAGTGAGAAAATTCCGGCAGAAATGGTTAAGGGAGGAGGTGAAACATTGCTTTATGAGATCCATAAACTCCTTAATTCTGTTTGGAATAAGGAAGAATTACATCAGCAGTTGAAGGAGTAGCCTATATTATTGTACCAATTTACAAAACGGGCGATAAAACTGCCTTTAGTAATTGTCAAGGCGTATCACTTCTATCTAGTTGGACTTTTTAAATGGAACCTATAGTAAAATCCGAACGTGCAAATATTTGTCTGAGATGTTTCCTATTCAAAATGGTCCAGAACAAGGAGATACTTTAGCGCCATTGCTTTTCATTTTTGCGTTAGAGTACACCATTAGGAAGGTCCCAGAAATCCAGGTGGGACTGAAATGAATGGGACACATCAGATTCTGGTCTATGCTGATTATGTAAATATATTGGGGATAACAAATACCATAAGGAAAAACAAAGAAGCTGCAACTGACGCTAGTAAGGAGATTGGTCTGAAAGCAAACACAGAGAAAGCTAAGTATATGTTTGTCTCGTCACCAGAATGCAAGGCAAAATAGTAACATAAAGATAGATAATGGAGTCTTTGAAAACGTGGTAAAGTTAAGATATTTAGGGACGAGAATAACGTATCAAAATTTCATTCATAAGGAAATTAAGAGCTGATTAAATCTGGGTAATGCTTGCTACCATTCTTTTCAGAACATTTTGAATTTTCTTTTGCTGTCTACAAACGTAAAGATTAAAATATACAAAACTATTATTTTGCGTGTAGTTCTGTATGGGCGTGAAACTTGAGTCTCTGACAATAAAGGAGAAACGTGGCCCGAGGGTGTTTGAGAAGAGGGTGCTGAGAAGAATATTTGGGCCTAGTATGAGGGAGGAAATGCTAGGAGGGTGGAGAGAGTTGCAAGATGAGGAACTTCATAAGTTGTACTCATCACCGAATATAATTAAGACAGGAAGACCTAGACACAGGTGGATCTGATAGACTCTTAATATTGTAGGACTTTTGTCTGTGAATTTTTAAGCCTTTAAAATTCTTTAAGTGATGGATTAAGTCTAAAATGAAGAAAAAAATAATATACGATATACCATTTAACGACTTAAAAGGAAAATTATTTATGGCCGAAATGTGTCTCTATTGTGTTTTGGTCAGTTTTGCCTCGTAGAGTTTCAAACACCTAGAAATGCACAGTCGAATACCACGGGTCTCACAACAGAATGCGCTCGTGTGTTGTAGTTTTAAATACTTGGGGCTTCAGAGCATTATTTGGACTAAACCTTTTCTTCTGCTATAGCTGTATCTGCCTCTAGTCTTTCCAGCACAGTGCTGTGATATTGCTACGATAACTGCTTACAATGTTTAATTTATTTCTTTTCAGGGCCCAAGAGCCAAAAGTTTGAGGCATTTTTTTCTGTTATGTCCTTTTGTAGAGGTTATTGATGGTAGTTAACCTCGAAATATCGCAAAATTAGGCACATACGCTTCTCTGCTTCCACAGATGATGCTACTTCTGTGTAAGATTTGAAGTGTACGTGACGGTGAGTCTGAAGACAGCAATCTTCATCATACTTCTGCTTTTCTGTGTGGGTGGATAGAAGGGGTAGAGGAAAGTTGCATTATAAGCATAATATTAAAATAATAATTAGTGTTAGTTAAGTTGTTTTCATGGTCAAGTGTCAGTATGGAGTTAAGTTTCGTTATAGTGCATATACGTTGGAAAACATTTACCACTGTATTATCTTATGAAGACCAGAATAATACAAATAATGATATGTTCTGTAAATGTGTCATTCCTTATTTTATCATCATCTATTCATATTTCAGCCTGACAGACTTCCAGGTTTCTGATTTGTAGCCTCAGATTTACATATTATTTTGATAAAAGGTTCATACCTTCATTTTATTTTCCTTGCAAGTTTATAGCTTGAACCCAAAGTGAAAGTTGACTTCTGTGAACATATATTTAGCAACCTACTTTCATAAAATGTTATCAGTTACAGTCATATACACAATACAAAATTACGTATGCAAATTGACATTTTTAGAATATTACTGATAATGTATTAGAGTAATCAGTTAAGTGCCTGAAACTTTAGATACATATGTAATCAAAGGTATAATTACAAATGCACTACACTGAATTCATTACACAATTCAAAAGTCTGTTTAAAATGTATGTGAAGACCATTTGTATAAAAGTCAGTCATCACACAGTCCTAGAATAACTGAGATATTAGTTTAATATTTCATAATGGTTATATTTTTTCCAGACTGTTTTAAATTCTGTATCTAAAATTACACAGCAGCTAATAAAGTTGGTCTTTAAAATGAATTTAATTTTTATTTTAGAAATTTCTCTTTTAATTACTTCAGTTGCAACGAGACAAAATGTTTCACCGAAACCACGTCATGAGGGAAATGTCCAAACATCGTCTCAAGCAGAAATTGGTATGTATCAGTGTCATAAATCCATTAAATTGTTTTTTTCTCTGGCCTTCATCATCTCTCCTGGTTATGTGTATAGTCTGTATGGTCTGTAGAATGCAGTATTTTACACAATGATCCCTCCAACTTTAAAATTGAAATAACGTAGGAATGTAATTTTAATTGCTTTTTGTAGTAAATGCCATTTTTCATGTGTCCATCTGCCCAAATCTGATATTTAAGAGTCATTGCTAAAATTTATAAAACAAGTTTAAATTTGAATTTAAACTGAATTTAAATTTTAGTAACATAGACTCTATTTAATAGATAAGAATTGGTTAATGATAAGTGTAGTTAGCATTAGGTATATTTTCAACACAATTGTGTTTTCAAGATAATGGCCATCAAATAATGACGTGGATTGTAAGATACTCCTGCTTATGATATATTGGCCAGTGAAAACCTCATTCAAGTTAGTTCCTGAACATTGTCTATTTTAAAGTACATCATTTTTATTTTATTTTAATGTGGACTTATTTCAGCTAAAAGGGTTTCATCTTGGACCCCAGAAGATAAAAACAATGCTTGGGAGCTCAGTGGACAGTTTGAGGGAGACATCATGCTTTATGAAAATACAGCCATTAAAAATGCTTTGCAAGATGATAACGCACGTTGGACAAAGGCAGTTGTGCCATACTCTGTTGATGGAACGGACTTTTGTGAGTAAAATAACTTCAGTAAGGTAATAATTTTCAACTTTAATGTGGTTGATCTGGTACAAGGAATCACTTCTATGAGTCATTTTTGTAAACACAACATGTAGACACTTTTTACATTTGAAAAATTGATATGCATTAGTTTCACTTAGCACCATTTTGATACCTCTGAGGGAGTAAAACATTAAATGTGTCCCTCATTACCCTGGCAGGAATGTCCTCAGGTTGTAGGTAGGACACATTAAATAATCCCATAATGTGTATTCTGTACTGGAGGAAGCAAATTTTCCTCACGTGTTCTTTGCAATGTGTCTTACCCCACAAAATTGATTTGAAGATGGCTGTCTTTTGGATTGTTATACTGTTTAGTCCAGTATAAGTTTACCGACATTTTAGAGCTGCCACCATCATCAGAATGGAGGCAGCAAGGACCTCTGAAATGTCTGTAAACTTCTGCCAGACTACCCGGCACAACAATCCAGAAGACAGCCATCTTCAGACTCACTGCCATGAAAACCTCAAATCCTACAAAACTGATTTGTCACACATTTTAAATCCGTAATTTATTTTCAAAATCCCGAAATAAAAAATTAATAATCCGTATATTCAAAATTTCAATATTCAGACTCGAAGTATGCCACAACCAAACTTTTCTTAACCGAAACTAAAACAACAAATGTATTCACATGTAACTCAACATTTAAAATAAGATAACCTGCCCTAACCCACAGTTAAA